GCAAATCCAGGACAGCACAGAGGTTGGGGAAGCCAAGCCACTTAGCTACCTCGGACAGAGCCCGCGGCTGAGCCTCAAAGCCACGCCCTTCCGCCGCATTTCCGGGAAAGTTACCCAGGGTTTGGCAGATAAACGCGAAGGACGCTATTACTAGGTTTGACCTTAATGCACAATTATTCTCTTTGTTTTTGTTTTGGCAAATAGCGTTCTCATTTTCGCGCAGTCTGAGATTTAAGGTGACTCCAGCATCGAGGGGAGCTGCTGTTCTGTGAGGTTCTGATAGCGTCCAGCAGCACACGTGAACCCTTTCAGTAAATTCTGAAACCATGCAGAATTCTGCGTGCAGCTAAAACTGTTATCAGGCTTCGACTTAGCATAACGCGGAATCTCCTCTCCATTTTATGCACATGTAAGTCGTTTCGCTTCCACCGGAACTGGAAATAGTGCAGACGCTGATGGCTCGCTCCTTTGTCCACCGGGAGGCATCAGGTCACAAATGGTCTGAGAAAGGGAGGGTGAACTTCGCGTGGGTCGTGTTTCTGAACTCGAGTGTTCTGCCCCCCAGTGGCCCCCATTTCGTGTTTCCATTTATACCCCACCTTTTGGCCAGGGCAAGCGGAGGGATCCGGTCCCCGGAAGGGCGCGGTCCGTGGGACCCGCAGGCCCGACCCCAGGCGCCTTCCCGCCACGCCATGCATCGCAGCCCACAGGAGCAGCTCCCGCTAACCTGTCCGACCGCTGTTCCTCTCCCTTCCCATCCACGCCTCTGCTGTGATAAGAGCGTGGGCACCCAAGTCACAATCTTCAGTGGCTGGGCTTGCCTAGCGTGTGGGCTCAGCACTGGAAAAAAGGTCTCAATTTCAGGAGAAAAAGAATGCGTCCTCCCTGGTGTCAGACAAAAATTGATGTCGTTCTTTCACGCACTCTTCCGGGGATCGAAGTCCAGACCTGGCGCTTGCTAGGCAGGCATGGTGCCACTGCGCCACATCCCGGGCCCTCACATATTCTTTCTCCATCCACGTACTCAACAGTTGCCAAGTTGGTCCTGATACTTCCGGTCATTCCAGCTGTTTCCCCGCCAGCTGTGGGAATGGAACAGTGTTTCAGCTGATGTTCGCATGAATCCCGCTGCTCCTCAGATGAAGCTGTATGCACGGTTTTCCAGAGGACTCTTTACTTGGTCACCCCTCCCTCAATTTGACTGCAAAGCTCAAGGGAGTGGCTGCTTTCTGTGACCACTTGGCTCGCCTTTCTTATGAACCTGCACTCCACTAAGCCACCTACATGTTTCCCCCTCCCAGTCTCGGAAACCCCACTAGGACGGTTCCGTTTGTGTCCTCCGTGTGTGGAGGAGGAAGAGAAGGGGAAGGAGCCTGCCCGGGCCCTGTGAGCAGCAGCAGCAAATGAACAGCGCAGCTCGGGTTTCGTCCCAAGTCTGCCCAGCGCCAAAGCTCTAATCATTTACCTATTTTTAAAACGGAACAGATATGTAAAACACCCAGACTGTACGTAATAATGAATGTAATGTTTTATGCCCAGATGCCCCCCCGAGCCTCAGGCACGCAAGAGCTTTGGAAGGGGACTGGATTATGGAGCTCACAGCTGACCTGCTGTGAGGAGGTGGAGTCTGGCTGGAAGAGAGGTCCGTAGGGGCGTGGCCTGGGAGGGTCTCTCTCCTCACTGGCTCCTCCCTTGATCTCTCCGCTTCCTGTCTACCCTGCCATGAGCTGTGTCTCCTCTGCCAGGCCCCTCTGCCGTGCTGCCCTACCTTAGAACCAGGCGGCTATGGAGTGAAAGCTTTACAAACTGTGAGCCAAAATAAACCCTTTCTCCTTACAGTGGTAGGTGTGGGTGTCACGTCCCGGCGATGACGGAAAGTGACTAAGACAATGGAATAGCATGGAATGGTTTTTATGCACTGGGGATTGAACCCAGGGAGTGCTGAGCTACATCTCCAGCCTCCCCTAACCCCACCTTTTGAAACGTTTAATTTTGGGACAGAGTCTTGCTAAGCTGCCCAGGCTGGCTTCGAACTTGTAATCCTCCTGCCTCAGCTTCCAAGTAGCTGGGATTACAGATTCCATCACTGTGCCAGGCTGTGTGGGACACTTTGCCTCATATACCATTGCATAATGCTTAAATCAGGTTAAATATATCTATCCCTCACTCCTTATGGTGAAGACTTTCAAATTCTTTTCTTCCAGCTCTGAACTGTCCAGTACATGCTTGCTACCCTCGCCCCTCGGGTCACAGCGTATCGGGAGACCTTGCTCCCTCCCAACTGCAGTCCAGCCCCGCCCGTCAGGCTCCCTGGGCCTCCTCCCTCTCTCCTGCCCTTGCGCTGAGCTCACCCCTTTCGATCCACGTGTAGTGAGGTCATGTGGCCTTGTCTTTCGGTGCCTGGCTTATTCTGCCCCCTGGAACACCACGTGTTGTTACAACTGACAAAGCTCAGGTTGTTCACTGCTCTGCTACTGCGCCTTTTGAGCTTTCCCAGAGGAGCGTTAAATCAAAAGGGTCCAAAGTCTGGCACTGCCTCCCTAAGGCGGCTGGCTGCATTATGTCACGGGATGGTAGGGCTTAGTTCTCCCCTCTGGACGGGGGCGAAGAGGATGTGTGTCTGTCACTGCACGAATGAGTGGCACCCGTGGAGAAAGCACAGAAGTGCCCTTGGGGTGGACCCTCTGCATGCTGGGGGCTGGGGGCCCGAATGGCCGGGCTGCGCTTCTCTCTCTAGAGCGGTGACACTGACTGTGTTCATCGCTTGCATACTGTGCACCTCCCCATTAAAAATGAAAGGAAGAAAAAAGAGAAGCATCAGGAATCTCTTAAATTTCTTGAATGTCAGGTAGGCGCAGAGATTCTGAGTGTTAAATGCACACTTCTGGGGGACAGTGAGTACCTCTGGGGGCAGACATGCAGCAAATGCACTTCCTTCGAAGGTTCACGACGGAGCAAGAGCAGCCCTGCCTGGGTGGGGTCCCTTCCCCCTGTGGAATCGCGCATCACCCACTGCGCAGAGGGTGAGGATCGCCATCCTCTGACATGGCCTTTATCAACTGCAGGCTGTTGCTCTGGAGAAAGAGCTTTTTCCTCTTTGGCGTAAGAATTTGGTCCATTCTCTTCCTCAGGGGGGAAGAACCCCAAACTGAGAACAAAGACAACTTTCTCTTCAGTTGCTAAAACAAACAAACAAACACACATACACACACAAGACACAAGTAAAGTGCTAGTTTGTTACTTTCTGGCTCAAACAGCAGTGTGGAAAGGTTTTTTTTTAAGGGTACAGTCTCCAACTTTGTGAATTCTAGTGCATCAAGTTTTGCACCTGTGAAAGGTGAGCATAAATCATCCTTTGTTTGTTAGGACAAAAGCACTGGAATGAGCAGCTGAGTCTCCGGTGGGGTGAAGAATACGAGATCCAGGAGCCTGACCCCAGGCCAGGTCTCACCCTGCCATTCGCACTTGGATGTGGCCTTGGCCAAGCCACTTAGATCACTGGGATCAGCTTCTCACCTAACAATAGTTTATAATAAAATACTGTGTAATAAGTATTAAAATATTTTACAGGGTGTCTTAGTTACTTTTCTCATTGCTGAGACAAAGTTCTCAGACACCCAAAGCGAAAGGTGGAGAGGTTTATTTAGCTCACAGTGTGTGGAGGTTTCAGTCCGCAGTCAGCTGGTTCAAGGCAGGGTGGACGGCAGAGGGCATCACAGAGGAGAAACAGCCCATGGAGGCCGCAAGGTAGCAAAGCAACAAGGGACAACCACAGCTCTTTCTGTCCCTTTTACTTTATCCAGGCTACCTAGGGCGGGCAGCACTCACACCCTTATCCTAGTGCCCTTGAGCCTAGCACTGCACCATGAATCAGTCCCAGGGTCACACACTCTAGATCCAGCCACCTCTGCAAAGCCCCGCCTATGACTGTGTGAGGCTTTAGGGGACATCTGGGCACAGCCATAACATGGGGGCTTTTGTGAGAATGAAAGGAGATCGTGCCTGTAGAGTCCTCAGCAAAGAGCAGGGCCTCAGGGGAGCGCAACAAACCGAGGCTGTTGAGACAGCCTAACTTTTTTTTTTTTTCATAACTTTTTTTTTGGTGCTGGGGATCAAACTTGGGACCTTGAATTTATGAGACAGGTGGCAGAACCACTGAGCTAAATCCCCGGCCAACCCATAACTTACTGTCAAGTATAAAATGCAAACTAACTTTCTCTTAATTAACTTAGGTCATGTAGGTGTGTGTATGGATAAATGCACACAAACGTATGTGTGTGCCTATGCATGTGTGTGGACATGTAGGCATGTGTGTGCATTAGTGAAAACATTTTCTATGCGTATTCTGTTGACTGCAGCTGCCCACACTTACTGGAACTGGGCCCAGGCACCGGCAACAGACAATGACAGCGCTTTCTTATTGTCCCTCAGCATCTGGCTTCTAGGTCCACAGCCTCACTCCTGGGGCAGTGACACAGCTCCTGTTATCTGTCTTTGTCATGGAGCTCAGACCTGAGTGATAAGAAGATAAGAACCTTTTGCTGTTTCTAGTCTTGCTTTTAGTTGTGAATGACAAGGAAATGCAGTGAGCAAGGCCTGCTTAGCCTGACAGATGAGTCATGAGAGGCCAGCTCTCTTGTTTCGCCTGCTCTGCTTGCTGTCGTGTTTCAGGGTCTCCACAGTCTGAAGACCTCATCAACCAGGGGCTGGGAGGGCTACCGGGCCCGGCACAGCTCTTGTGTGTGTCGAGGCGTGTCAGTTATTGTTCACTGGGTTCTCTTCCACACGTGTCGTCCTTCCAACACCATCACTCTGATAATGGCAGTAGCTCCCATTACTGAGTGCTTACTGTCTCCCGGGCACGGTTATAAGCACTTTTCACGTATTTGCTCATAGACTCCTCACTATATGATTATTTCCCCATTTTCTAGCCGTGACAACAGGCCCAGTGGATGAAACACTTGTACAAGGTTACACAGCATCACCACGTTCACCAACTCTATCTTCTTACCTCTTTTTTATTGATGGTTCTAATATTAATTTTTAGAGAACTGTTTGCGTGATCAATCCTTCATGCTCTCAGCATAAGGACATTTGCCTTGGGGTGCAGGGAAGTGTTTGAGGAGCTCCCCGAGTCTGGGCTCATCTAGTTGAAGGCGGGTCCCTCTGTCAAGGATGATTCGGTGCAGTTGTTAGGGACCTCAGATCACTGAAGCATAAGGTTATGCTTTATGGACCAGGACAGCGATGTGCCAGAGGCTGGAATGGATTCTGAAACTTGCTCTTTTTGAGTTGGGTCTCCCATGTTCCCCAGCTGGCCTTGAACTCCTGGGTTCATGCGATCTTTCTGCCTCAGCCTCCAGAGTATCTGGAATGACAAGTGCAGGCCATCAGGCCGGCTTGTGGAGTTTTGGAGTGACATTTGCATTCATTTCCAAGCCCCAAATGAATGCCCTTTTTAAAAATTCAGAATGTCTGAAGTTCAAGGCTTGGGGGTGCAGGAGGGGGATTCAGATTACCAGACTTTACCTTAGATCCTTCGTGGAATGAGATAAGAGTGCAGAACAAGCACACAGATGACAACCGTGCGGGGTCACACACACACCCCCCCCCCCCCGCTGACCAGAGAAAAGCACCCTTCCCCCTGGCTCTGCTTCTGGCTTCGGGGCCTGGACACAGCCCTCTGGAGACCCCACTTCTGTGCCTTCAGAACCCACAGGTGGAGCCCGACTCCCCTGTCCCAGGGCAGGCCCTGTGGGCGAGGAGTGTTCTCTCCAGTGGGGAATGAAAAGAGGACGTGGAAGCGGCCGGTCCCGGCCCCTTGGGTGGCTGAGGGACTTGTGTCCACAGCACAGCATACCGGCCCGGCCTCAGGGAGCCCGTGAGTGCACGTGCCCTCTTTATTGGGGTGTCCTAGGGGCTGTCCTGGGGCTCCCCTGGGGGACTGCCCTGGGGCCCTCGCTGGGAGCAGGTCCCTCGGGAGAAACAGGAGGGTGTGCGCTGGCAGGGGTCCCCAGCAGGATCAGGAGGCTGCTCTGAAGACTCCAGGGGTGGCAGCGAGCCGATGGGGCGCTGGGTGAATGAGGGCGCGCTCACTGTGACCCGGTGAGCAGCAGGACGCACCTCGGGGCGGGGCTGGCCAGGCGGGCCGGGCTGGGCCCCACAGCGGCCCAAGGGCCCAAGCGGGAATCTGCCCTGCAGCCGCGCCCAGGCACGTCCCCAGGTCCCCAGGGCGCACACGCCCGTGCGGGCCGGCCTTTATCACTGAGCCCCGAAGAAGGCAGGGGGCAGAGCGGGCGGGGACCCAGCTCGCGGTGTGCCCGGGAGACTGACACGGGCCGGGCCACGCGCGCGCCATGGGCCGCTACACGGGCGCGACGTGCCGGCTGTGGGCCATGCTGGTGCTCACGGGCGGCTTCTTCGTGGCCGAGCTGGTGTCGGGCTACCTGGGCAACTCGATCGCTCTGCTGTCCGACTCCTTCAACATGCTGTCCGACCTCATCTCGCTGTGCGTGGGCCTGGTCTCTGGCCACCTGGCGCGGCGCACGCGCCGGGGCCTGCGCGCTACCTACGGGTTGGTGCGCGCCGAGGTGGTGGGCGCGCTCTGCAACGCCGTGTTCCTCACCGCGCTCTGCTTCACCGTCTTCGTGGAGGCCGTGCTGCGCCTGGCGCGGCCCGAGCGCATCGACGACCCGGGCCTGGTGCTGGTGGTGGGCGCCCTAGGGCTGGCGGTCAACGTGCTGGGGCTGCTCATCTTCCAGGACTGCGCCGCCTGGCTGGCCTGCTGCTCCCGGGCCCGGCGCGCTCGCCGGCGGCCCAGAGACCAGGACGGCGGCCCCCGGGGCGCCCAGGACCCGGCGTTCGCCGCCGCCCCGCCCGGCCCCAGCCGCGCGGGGGCGCAGGACAAGGGCGCCACGGTGATCGCCAGCGTAGCAGGTGCCATCCGGTTGCATCCTCGGGACTCCCCCCGCCCCAGCTCCCCTCCGTCTTCCCCCCACTGAACACCACCGCCGGGCTCCCTCCCTGGCCCCTGCCTGGCTCGGGCCTGCCCCCTCCCTCTCTCCCTCCCTCCCTCCTCTCCGTGGCCCTGAGGAAGAATCGATCTTCTTGGAAATCGGTTCTCATTGAGCAACAGGCTGGCGCTGCCGGCTGGACTTTGGTCCTCCCTCCCCTCGGCCCAGCTCTGCCCCCGGGCGTCCTGGGCCGCGGGTGGGGGGGCTGGGCTCCCGGGTTTGCTGAGTCTGAGTTTGAGTTGGTGCAGTGGGGTCCAGAGATGAGGCGGAGGCCCTTTCCGGGCCGCCGAGGGCGGGGTGGGCGCAGAGGCAGGGGCGCCAGGCCAGTTAGGTGTCGAAAGTAACAGAGCTTTGGTTTGAGTCCATTGGTTTTGTTTTTTTTCTTTTTGTAGAACTTATACACAACACAAGATTTCTTCTTTGAATGCAGGTGATTCCCTGAACACCCAGAACGAGCCGGAAGAGACTGTGAAAAAGAAGAAGTCGGAAGCCCTGAATATCCGAGGTGGGTCCAGGCGCTGGGCGGCTGCCCCTCGCCCGGGCCGGGCTGCGACCCCGTCCCTTGCCCAATCGCCGCATCGATTCGATTCTCAGGGAGAGACTCGCTGCTAATGATTTATGTTTGCTCTGGTTGCACTCGCTCAAGCGCTGCCCGCTCCGGACCTCGGTTTTCCTGGCCGTGGGTATTGTGACATGCAGCGCAGTTTGTTTTACTTATTATTCCTTTAGTTTGGGGATTCTGTGTCTTCACCCCCATGCTAAGCACAGTTCTACTACCGAGCCACGCCCCCAAGTAGTGCGGAGTAGTCTGATTAATCAAGTCGGATTTTGATAAAGCTTAGAGGAGCGGGAGGGCGCCTCTTGTGGCAAAGGCTCTGTCGCTTTGTTCATTTGTGCCAGAAATCTGCACTTGTGAAGCGACTCTCCAGTCACCAAAGCCTTCACTTTAGGCCCAAACTGGGCACCGCTGCAGCCAGCACCTCCTTTCAGCTTCATTCCTCTGGGGTCCCAGCGGGGATGCTCCGACCTGACCTAGGACTTCAGCACAGGCGATGCCACAGGTCACCATCCTGTGCTTTTCAGAAGCCTCTGGTGGGTTTAGATTCGATAATATAACTGGAGAAGCTAAGCTGGGCACCATGATGCATGCCTGTGATTCCAGCTCTGAGGAGGCTGAGGCAGGAGAATCACCACGAGTTCAAGGCCAGCCTGGGCTACATAGTGAGTTCAAGGCCAGCCTGAACTACATAGCGAGACCCTGTTTCAAAAAGCCAAAAAAAAAAAAAAGCTCAGAAGATACCTTCCGATTTGTAAAGTGAGTCTCAGAATAGACCTATAGGGAAATATAGAAAATAAAACAATAGTAATATGTGAACTTCTAAAAAATTATCAATGAATTAAAAAATTGTAATGCAATGAGGGAATTTTCTAAAGTGCTTGGTGGTGAATCTTTTTGAGAACTTCGTAATGAAAGATCATCATCCTTTAAGTCATCTTTTTTAAAGGTTCTGAATGTATGTGGGGGGTAGAGAAAGAGAGTTGTTTTTTTTTTGGTACCAGAGATCCAACTCGGGACCTTGTGCTTTCAAGGCAGAAGGTGGCAGTGAGCTAAATCCCTGGCCAAGAAAGAGTTTTTAAGGTGAAGTTCACCAGCGTAGCACTTTAGCCTTCAAAGCACATTCTATCAGTGATCTTCATCCTTATGTCGCACAGGTTAGAAAGAGGATGGGTGTGTGGGAAAGAAGTAAAAAGGAACGAGGAGGAGACAGCAGATACTGTGACCTTGTTTGGGAAACCTGTATGATTTTGCTTGTTTTGGGGGTGCTGATGATTGAACCCCACCGTGTGCATGGCAGGCCAGGGCTCGACCTCTGTGAAACATGTGGTCCCAGCCCTGATCTTACCAATATTTTGCCCAAAGCCACTGGAGCTGGGGTAGGAAAAGGCAGTGGTGGAAAGCCGCTCAGTGCCTGGCTGAGCCTTTGGTCCACAGGGATAGATGGAGGGGAGAACGTGTGGCCGAAAGATTAGGATTTGGCTTCAATGAGCTGGGTGCATCCTGGCTCGGGCACTTAGGATCTGCAGGGCTTAGGGCAAGCGCTGGGCCTCCCTGTGTCCCCTCCCTCCTCTTTATGCAAGTTGGCAACCGAGCCTGTCTCACGGGGCTGCAGGGAGCCGTCCATGCCCAGTCCCCAGGCTCAGCATAGGGAGCCAGGCTTTGTGAGCTCAGACTTTGCGCTTGGCCACTCCCGAGTAAGTCACGCAGCTTCATGCACTCCTCTGGGTGGAGGCTGTGGTTGCTCAGGTAGAGAGCGGAAGAAGCAGGCATCCTGGAGCCCGTCAGTGCTCTGCCCTGGGTCTGTGTCCTCTCCTCACAGCCCCGGCTGAGGGAGGGGCCACAGAACGGATCTGGGGCAAGACAGGCCCTGAGAAAACTGGATCCAACTCTTCCAGGCCTCAGATGGGGACACGGGCTCCAGAGAGTCTGGTGGTGTCCCTGCGTCGCCCTGGCCGGAGTCCTGGGCTCCTGATGCACATCTGCGACCCTTCCCATGGCTGTACACTCCTCTGGACTCCAGACAGGGACGGTTTGCTCAGGCAGTGTAGACATCCGTTTGGATGGCTCCATTGCTACGGTGTAGACGAGGCTGCCCCTCCTGGGTCTGCACTGGAGATGTTTGATGGGGCCTGGGGAGCAGAAAGCATTCCTTGGCTTTCGTTCCTGCCTCTCTCATCCCATGGGAATGAAGAAGTGAGTTCTATGAAGTGCACTGCACCTTACACTGCAGGAACAATGAAAGCACAACCCTTTAAAACGTCTCACGAGTGTGCTTTGTTCCAGTTGGTTTTATTTAGCAGGCTCAAACACAGTGCTTTACAGAGGTTGTCGCAGTGTCAGAAAGACAGTCCGGTACAGACATAAGCAGGTGAGCAATCTTGGCGTCACTTGAGAATAAAATCCTTTCCCCCAGATGTTTCCTTATCACATCTATCACATCAGTTTCCTCTGCTAAGCAGGGTCTCATCCCTTCCAGATCCATCCGTGAAGGCCCAGTGCACACGCACGTTCTTCCCTGTAATCAGCAGCACCCAGGGCTTCCTGAGCCCCGGACACTTAGCAACCTTCAGTTTACGTCCAGTTGCCGGCTTGTGCCAGTTTTTATGCGTTTCCTTTTTATGGAAAGTCAGCAGGTGAAGGCCAAGCACAGAGGTTTCCTGACAGGGATGCATGTGAGCCTGTGGTGTCAGGTGATGGGCTCCGGGCTCCGCTCTTTGAGTGTCACCTTGTGTCATCTTGGTCTCGGAGAGTCTCTAGCAGCACCTTCCCGAGTCCCGGATGGGGTCATGGCACAGGGGGCGGAGTCTGGACAGCAAAGAAGTGGGGCCCACTCCTGGCTCCTGTGCAGGGCTCCTGGGACCAGCCCAGCCCCACTTTCTAGATGCCCTGCCCCCTCCCGACCCTCGCTCTCTCCCAGCCCTTCCCATTTCCACACCAAAAGTACACGGTCGCCTCCCACACCTTCCCATCTCCTGGCCAAACGCCTTGAACTTCCCACCAGCCTTTGACGAGCTCCCCTGGGGCCCTGTCCGCTCCCCTCACCGGAGCGAGCACTTCTGAGTGGGGCAGCAGCTGTACCCCTGCCTTCCCAGTGCGTGTCCTTGGGAGGTAGCTTCCCGCTGAGCTTCAGCCCCTGTTGTGTAAGGAGACTTTGCTGTCAGCAGGGCGCGGTGTCACCGTGGAGGCCCCACGGTGCCAGGAGTGCACAGTGCAGCCATGTGATCTCTCCCACTTGGGCTCCCCGGTGTTCAGGCCCTGTTCGGTTCGCTCCAGGGCCCTCGCCTTTGAGGGTGCGAGGGGGTGTCATGGTCACCCTGATTCACAGGGCAGGACCTGCTGCTCCTCAAGCTGCCTTCACAGGGCAGAGACAGACAGAGCCGGGCTCAGGGTTCTGACCCTAGCATGCAGTCCACCCACCTCCGTGCCTGTCCTGGCCTCTCCTTGAGCTGCCACTTCACAGTGACATCCTCCCGATGGCTGGTGGCTTTTTGGATGTGCACACTGATGGCGCGGGCAGGGTCATGGGTGTCCTTAAAGTGAACCCAGAGATTCGAACCTCTTGGTTTGCTTGGTATTGTGGGGTTCCTGGGTCTCCTCGAGCTGCTGACAGGTCTCTAAGGTGCTCAGAACAGCAGGATTTTGATGTTGAATCGCCTAAGCCACACACGTTGTGTCTATATTTTTTGCTCCTTTTGACCAGAGGTTTACCAAATCTGCTAAATTTAGTTTAGTGTACATCTAACCAGTGAGTCCTTTAGAAACAGCTCCCTTTGTTAAAGGCATCCACAATTTTTATTGTTAGCTGTAGAATTTAAATCTGGTGATTTTGAGACAAGGCCTTGCTGTGTAGTTTTAGGCACTCAGTGATCCTCCTGCCTCAGCCTCCCAAGTGCTGGAACATAGGTGTGAGCCATCCTGCCTGCCTGCAGAATTCTCATTTTGTTCTGCTGTGACAAGGGGCTTGCTGTGCAGCGGGAACTCGAGGGAGTCCCTGTTCTTGAGGCCACAGGCTGAGCTTCTCTGCCTCCTCTTACACGCCTTTCAAGTGCTCGTCTGAAGGAGGAGTCACTTGCCAGCCCGTTTCCCAGCCTGGTGGCCTTTGATGGCGGACGGTGGCAGGCCTCCCGGGCTGTCCTCTGAGCGGCAGGTGGCCTTGCCTTCTCACTGCGGCCGTCCGCTGTGGCCGGGAGAGAGCCTCTGGGTGCCCCTGGCGGCCTCACCTTCCCCTCTCTGGCAGGGGTGCTCCTCCACGTGATGGGCGACGCCCTGGGCTCCGTGGTGGTGGTCGTCTCGGCCGTCATATTCTACGTGCTTCCTCTGGAGAGCACGCAGCCGTGTAACTGGCAGTGCTACATCGACCCCAGCCTGACTGTCATCATGGTCATCATCATCCTGTCGTCTGCCTTCCCGCTCATCAAGGAGACGGCCAGCATCCTCCTGCAGATGGTACCCCCAGGCGTCAACATGGAAGAGCTCAGTGAGTACCGGGAGCCCCGCCTGGCCAGGCAGTTCATGTCCCACGGCCCCAGGGTAGCATCTCACTTCATAGCCCAGGCTGGCCTCAAACTCACTGAGACCCTCCTGCCTCAGCCTCCTGAGTGCTGGGGTCACAGGCACGAACCACCATGCTGGGCTTCCTGGGCTATTTACCTTCACAAGAGTGATTGATTTTAACTCAAATAGGTTGCTTTTGCCAAGAACTGGGTTTTTATTCCGTTTTGAAAACACAAATCCCTGGTATTCTGGATTTGATGTTTCTGGGCACGAAGTCTTACATCTCTCAGGGCGCTGGAACAAGGACAGGGTTTAGATTCAGATCATCCCCTCCTCCGGAGTGAAAGCTGTCTCTGCGTTGCCCAAAGAGAAGGTACCCTCTCGATTTGGTTCCCTGCGTCCTGGGGTGGTGCTTTAGACTCCTCGAGGGCTTTTCAGACCCTGGGGGGAAGTGGGTGGGGCTCTTGTGCCCAGAGCTTCCAGGTGGGAATTGTGACCTGGTCTTGGCATCTGCTGTTGCTTTTTTACCTTGGCTTCCCCGGGAGTGCAGCAGAACCCGGACGAGCTGCTTTCACGGCGCGCATCTGGAGTTCAGCTCTCGTGGGTGCTGAGGCCTCCTGTGGCCATGACTCGCTGTCCCTGGGTGTCGGGTGGCTTCAGCTTGACCTCTTCTTGTTCTGTGCCTGGCTGGAATGAGCTAAGCTCCACTGCCACCCAGGTCACCCCGCCCCGAGCCATCTGTGGAGCCCTAGGCTGCTGCCTCACCTCCTCCCCATGCCTTGCTGGTCTTTTTCCGCCTCTTCTGCGGCAGCGCTGTCTCTGTCAGCGACGCCTCTCTGGCTGCTCTAAGATGGTCACCTGCACTGTCTGCCATGCTACAGGAAGTGCAGGTGGTACAGAGGGAGGGGCCGCAGCTGAGCAGACAGGGCGGCTCCTCTGCCTTCCCACGTCTGCTGTTTCCCAGGCAGGCGAGGAAACGAGATAAACATGCAGGAAAACCTGTGCATACAGTACACTGCCCTGACTTTTAATTTTTTTTTCTTTTGAGGCATGGTCTTGCTATGCAGTTCAGGCTGGCTTTGAATTTGAGACAATCCTTCTGCCTCAGCCTCCCAAGGGATAGGATTACATGCATGTGTCACTCTCCGGGGCTTAAAAACTTTTTTAATTAAAATTTTTTCAAAAAGTTAGGCATAACAATAGTATCAATCCTTAATTCACTCCAGGCTAGGTACTGTTCTAAGTGCATTACTTATACCAACTAGCTTCTGTCCTTAACATGATCCTATGAGGAACTCTCATTATTGTTCCTAATTTTCAGTGAGTAAACTGAGGCACAGCAGGGCTAGGTAAATCCCTGAGGTCACCAGGCTGTCTGAGATTACACTGGGATTCCCAACTCAGGCTGTCAGCAGGACCTTTGCTCACAAACACTAGTCTACTCCATCTCTTTAAATACACACCCATTGTGGAAAGTATGGAAAATGCAGAAAAGCCCAAGTAAGAATAGAAATCTAAAAAAAAAAAAAAAGAAATCTATTACAACTCCATCATGGAAATTGCCATCTTAGTATTTTCTTCTACGTACACTGCACAACATGGTAAAGATCATGCTGCATATGAAGCTTAGCTGTTTGCTTTTTCGCTTAAATATACCTCTGTACATTTCCTCATAGCCTTCGATATGCAGCTTAGTTTTAACAGCTGCGTCCTAGTCTCCTGTATAATTGGTTTCACGGTTTCCTTGTTGCTTCATTCCTTTTTTTTTTTCCTTTTCTCATTACTGCGAAGTGCATGACCCAAACCAGCTGGTTAAATTCCTAGCACTAGGACTGCTGATAAGTGTTCTGGATCCTTCTTGCCAATGAGTCCCTTTCAAGCAGACTCCTCTGGGCTCTGGGGCGCTGCGCGGTGGCCCCGGCCCCCTTATGCCTGGCTCGGGCCTGGCAGCGCGGTTTCGGAGCTCGGAGAGGCGGGCTGCAGGGCGGGCGCGTGTGCAGGTGCGGCTGTCTTCCGCCCGCGCCCCGCCCCCGCCCGGTCCCCACGCCTGCGGCGGCTCTCACCTCACGCGGCTCTCGGCTCTCCCCGCCCTAGTGAGCAGACTCTCCGCCGTGCCCGGCGTCAGCGGCGTGCACGAGGTCCACGTGTGGGAGCTGGTGAGCGGGAAGGCCATCGCCACGCTGCACGCCCAGCTCTGGGAGGCCCAGGCGCGCCCGGACGCCAGCGCGGAACTGCGGCGCATCTTCCACGGCGTGGGCGTCCACAGCGTCACCATCCAATTCGAGCGCGAGGACTCGCCGGCGGGCCCCGACTTCCTGCAGGCGTGCAGCAGCCCCTGCGTGTCCCGGGCCTGCGCTGAGAAGCTGTGCTGCCCGCCCGGGGCGCTGCCCCTGGCCCACGTCAACGGCTGTGCCGAGCGCAACGGGGGCCTGGCCCCCGAGGACCAGCGCTGGGCGCACAGCACGCATTTCTAGCGCGGGGCCCGCGGGCAGGCTGCGGCCGAGGCCGATGGGGGCTCGGCGTGGTCGGGCGCGATGCGCGCGCGCTCGGGACCCTTTCCGTGCCCGGTGCCCCGCTCTGCTCTTGCTCCCCAGAGCACCGCAGTAGGTGTCCGCGGGGTCCTCTGCAGCTCTCGCCTCCTGCGATCGGGGTGCTGGGGGATCGAGGCGCCCACTTCAGGCGGACAGGCGCTCACCGGCCTCCACAGCCGCTGCTTTGCAAACAGCACGCACCCGGCCCTTGGGTGAGGTCAGCCCGAGGTTGTGGAAGCAACTAAAGGATGGAACGGCTGTGTTTTTCCCAATCTCCTCGAAAATCATCCAAGAGGAAGCTTAGAGACTTTCGGCACTGCTGAAAGATCCGCGATGCATCTTTTGATGAACGTAAGGGACCGACTTGAGCTGGGTAGTGTCACCCCGGAGGGCAGGGCTCGGTGTGGGGATGGGGAGCTGGGTCTCCTTTGCAACATGCCCTTTTCGCCCGGAAGTGGGGAATATTTCTACTTACTAGATTATGACCCAAGTACTTATTTGCTGTTTTGAAATCTCCAGTGGGCTCGAGGTCACTTGGCCTCTTGCTGATTTTCTTACCTGTCCAGATGTCCTTGGTCTCCTTTTATTTTTATTATTTTTAGTTTTTATTTTTTTGGTACCGGGAATCGAACTCAGGACCTTGCTGGAACCACTGAGCTAAATCCCGGGCCCCTTGGTCTCCTTTTATATGATCACATTGATCTATGCCGGGTTTGCCAGGGGAAATGAGCATTCAGGACCCGATCGGTCGTTCCTGCCAAGTAAACCAGCCTGGCTGCCTTGTCTTTAATTAGACACATTTTAGGGTATTTATTATAGTTCCCAGCTGGTAACTTGATGGGAAGGTTGAGAATTCATTTAACTGCTGCTTTTAACGTGTTTTGAGGACCTCAGCATTTTCTTTTATGAACATGTTGCCAAATTCAAATAAATTTATTATAATCTGGTTCAATCACATAACCCAACTCTATTAGTAGTGGGAAAACATCTGCCACGCATTTAACACATTGTTTACGCATCAGGATTTAGTCTTGAAGATGTAAGGAAATGGACAGTATCTTAGAGAATCAGGGTCTGCTACAGTAGGTTGCAAAATTGACAAAACAGTCATCTACTGGGCTGTGAGCTTTGAGTCCTATTTAGAACCTGGACAGGATTCCACAGAAGTGTGGTGATGATAATAGAAACAGCATCCACATCATTTAGAAAAATTTCTCCTTGCCAGGCACGCTAGCACGAGCCTGCCGTCTCAGCTTCTCAGGAGGCTGATGCAGGAGTATCGCTTGATCTCAGGAGTTTCAGGCCAACCCGGGTAACAGAATAAGATCCTGTCTTAAAAAAAAAAATTGTCGTAATCCTAAATTCAAAGGCTGATAAGTAAGCAGCTGTGATCAGTAGCATAGGAAAGTCTTTGTTCCTTGAAAGTTCATAGTTTGATTTTAATTTGGCCATAAATAGAAAAGTGCCTAAAAATGTTCTTATGTCTAGAAATTCATCGGATTAGGTTAGATGCACTTTATAAGCTGAAGGGGCAGAAAATAACAGGCCAGTACCTTGATTTTTAGCATAAGTATGTGACTCAAAGGATGCAGGGTTCTCTGAGAGAAACCGTGGGGATCTGGGAACCACACTCCTGTTACTTCTTGTTTTTGGTACTAGGGATCGAACTCGGGTCCTTCCCCTTGTGAGGCAGGTGGCGGAACCACTGAGCTAAATCCCCAGCCCACTCTTGTTACTCCTTGTTTGAGCTGCTGGAGCCACAGCTGAAGAAGAAATTTATTCCGAATTGGAAGCTCTAATTTACTTTCACAACATGCTGCCTTTATTAAATGGGAAAACTGCAATTTTACAGTTTTTGTGCAAGCGTCTCAAGGAAGACATTTTAGTTTGCATCTAAGTAATGCATTTGATCAGTCGCTGAAGTATTTTTCTGGAAAGAGAAAGGCACTTAATTCCAAAATAAATATAACCTCAGAAGACTGCCTCAATTGACATTGATAAGCACATCAAACTGTGGACCTGGCAACGATACCTTTTTAAGATGGGGTGCCTGAGTGGACTTAACAGCGTCTGGAAAGCCTGGTATGGGTGGCAGCTTGGGGTGGTGTTGAGTGTGCCCCCAGCTCTGTGACCCCTGCTGTGTAATGTTTTACTGGATTCTACTTTCCTTTGAACTGACCTGCCTTTTTGTTTTGTCAAACAGGGACTCACTATGTAATTCAGGCTGGCCTCAAACTCACTTTGTAGCTCCGGCTGGCCTCAAACTTGCAGTGATTCTCCTGCCTCAGCCTCCTGAGTGCTGGGATCACAGGCGTGCGCCATCAGCTGGCTGACCAGCCTTTGAATTCTCCCAAGGAAATGCAAGAAAATTTTCTTTTTCCCTCTGCATCAGCAACGTTGGTAAACAATGTATTAAAACACAGTAGATTTTCTTTGAGAGTAGAAAAACCGTGACCCTTAGTTTGTAGCTTCCTTCTAGAATGTTCTTCCCTTTTTTTGAAGTACTGAAAACAGTTTTTTTCCTGAAGTGCTGGGGATCAAAGCCAAGTCTTCATGCAGGCTGCAGCTAAATCCCACCCAGGAAATGTTGCTTAGAAAGTGTGTTAAGTGGGAGGTGTTCCCTGCCGGTGGCCGGGGCACTAGTCCTCCCTAGCCCTCCTGCTGGCCGGGCACCTCCTCCACCAGCAGGAGCCCCAGGTCCTTCCCCGTTGTTTCAGAGCAGAGAGGACCAATATGGTCTGCTTCACTTCAGTTTCCAGCTTGGAGTCTGAAAGTGGAGGTTAGGGTTCTCCAGGGGTTTGCCTGTTAGGGTTACCCTCGGGGCCACCAGTCTCCCTTGTTGACAAAAGAAATACTTCCGACATTTTTGATAAGATGCCAGTAAAACAGGGAGACACTCTTGGGGGAAAAATTGAAAATAGGCTCTGTATTTAGTGACTTCCCCCCCACAAACTGGGGAAACACTAATGGCAGTAAATCAGCAACTCCAACGTTCAATGGGAATGAGTGATTTGAATGTCAAAAGTAAAAACAAAAAATCTAGCCTAACAACAAAATACCCCAGCACAAATCAGGGCGGTAGATGTTGTGTTACACCAAGGCAGTGCCCTGGGTCGTGGAAAGCACTTCTGCTATGCTGGAGCTGGCTGTCTCAGTCGGGAATATCATGTTTTGAACCCTCACAGGCTGACCTGGGGCTGGGGACAGGCAGCCGCACCCTGGCTCCCCCCGCAGGGCCCAGGGTCCCAGACCTGCCTCTGGGTGCCCTGTGTGCCCCAGCAGGGAAGGGGGAGTCCTGTCCCTAGTTCTGAACCACTAGCTACAACCAAGAGTGGGTTAGGGAGAGTGTTGATGGCTGTCAGTGTCACCAGGTCTGCAGGATTCGCTCTTTAAAAACAAGATTTTTATTTTATTTTATTTTTTGGTACTAAGGGTTGGACTCAGGACCTGTTGTTAAATATGTGCTCCACTACTGAGCAACACCCCTGGGCAAACAAGATTTGTTTTGGAGACAGGGTCTGCCTATGTAGTTCAGGTTGATCTTGAACTGACAGCAATCCTCCTGCCTCAGCCTCCCGAGTGCTGGGATCACAGGTGTGCACCACCAAGCCTGGCTAAGATTTTTTTTTTTGGTACCGTGGATTGAACTCAGGACCTTGCACTTTCACGGCAGGTGCAGTGCCACTGAGCTACATCCCCGGCCCCCTGGCTAAGATTTTAAAAATGAAATCAAACTATCCATGTCTCAATAGAGGAATTTTGGAAATTATACACTTTGGAAAATAAAAAGCCTTTACAAATGCTATTGTGCAGGCCAGACACTACCACGACTCTGAGGAACAAAAGCACTGGCTGGCGTTTTTCAGAGTCCATTTCTTTGGTTCTTGATTTTCCTCAGTTTGATGAGCCCGCTGCTAAACAAGGCTAGAAAATATCAACACAGCTGATTCTTGGGGTTAAGGTCACTTCTCCTTTGTACTTAAGTTCACCAATTTAAGCCTGATGTTTCCTGTTCTGGATAAGCTGCTCATCTCCGTGCTCAGGAGGAGTCGAGACGTTAGAAAAGCACTTTACTGCTCATGGCCCCGAGTCCCTTCCAAACACTGTTTCCTCAGCGAAGGCAAAATGTATTGATTGCATTTCAAAGTAGCTTGCTTTTAAATGTATTTTCCCACTCTTGTGGTTAAAGGCTGCGAGATGGACAGACAGACAGACTAGAGGAAGTGAGGCCCCTCTTTCTTGCTCGGCATTCAGCTGTCCAGAGCGGCTGAATGTGTGTGAGAACAATCCAGAGAGGCCAACTTCTGGGGACAGGGCCCCTCCTGGAGGTCTGGGCCCATGTTACGGTTTTGTGGAGTTCTGTTGCTTGAAGTCCTTCGCTCCTCACAGGTGATTCTGCCAAAGGGTGACTGTCACATTTGGGGACATCCTCAAAACATTAAGATGCAGAGTTTAGATAACTCATTTCTGGTTGATTGTGAGTCCTCTAGCCACATATGTGCACCTGCACACCTTTCGGAGGAGGTGGAAGATGTTCAATGGCGCTGTCAATAAAAATGTTTAAAGAATGAAAACACAGCCCAGATGTTTGTGGAAATTAAACAGAAAGCCCAAAGTAGCTGAACTCATCTTGTCTTTGCCACTTAGCTTATTACCCAGGTAATAAAGAATTGGTTTGGCTGTAATAAGGTGGCCCAAGGCTCCTGTTCATTTTGCCTGTCTCTGTTACTGCTGTTGTCACCCTCGACCCCCTGCAGTGTCACAGACTTGTGCGTCCTTCAGATTTTGGTTGCTGTGACAAATGCCTGAGATAATCAGCTTGTAAAGAGAGAAGGTGGATCTTGCTCGGTGTGCAGGTTTCTCCCGAGCAGCTGGCGCATTGTTTGGGACTTCGTATCAGGGTGGGCATGGGGAGAGCCGGCCCATCCACCTCCTGCCTGGGAAGCAGGTCCAGAGCGGGTCGAATGAATGGGGTTTCTACTGTCCTCTTCAGCGGTGCTCCCCAGGGACAGGAAGACGTCCCACCAGGCCCTGCCTTCCCAAAGCCCCATGCTGAGGACCTCGCCTTGAGCATGTGGCCCTTGGGGGACACCAAAGATCCAAACCTCAGCCAGGTCATCTTGGCAAAAATGCTGCCAATCAGTGCACACTTGGCTGCCCCACGGACACTCAAGCCCGGCTGTGCTGAGGGGCGCCTGGGGTTTAGAGGACAGCGGATGTGTCCCCCAGGCTGGCAGTTCACTGCACAGCTGCCCATGGTCTTTAGGAACCCTGCGTCGGGGGAACAGCCTTTCGCGTCTGTCCACTGGTAGGATTTGTCCATCAGTGTATGAATCCCCGCACACGCACATGAACCGCGACCAAGTGATTCCGGCTCCCACCCAGTCTCCAGGCTGACCTGGAGCTGCGTCAGCCTGGCCGGTCCTTGGGACACGGCGGGTGCCTGGTGCTGGGGGTGTCCTGGGGCGCAGATGTGACCTCCCCAGCCCCGCACACCTGCAGCTGGGGGGCCGCATGACCTGCCTCGAAGCCCGGAGTCCCGCACCTCGGCCCACTCACCCTACCTCTGCGGCTCCCCCAGGCACGGCGCTGACGCCCAGGGCCTCCTGTTAGGGCCTCACTGCTTATTTCCTGTCTCTGGAATCAAGCTGCTTCCCACTGGGCTCCTCCGCCCCTGTCAGTACCTGGAACAGAGCCTGGCATGTGGCAGTAGCTCCATGAATATTCACGGAATGAATGCGCATAAGAACGAAGGAATAGGGTCCACTCCTTTTATGTTGAACCCAGGGATTTCACACTGAGCTACATCCCAAGGCCTTCTTTATCCTGTAGTTTTTATTTGGAGACAGGGTGCCACTAACTCGTTACATTGCCCCCTCCTGGCTCAGCCTCCAGCTCTTTATGTCAGCCCCGTGCTGGCTCAGGGCTCACAGGGACACTCCTGTGCCCTGTGGATGGTCAGGCAGAGGCGGGAGGAGCCAGACTCCTTCTCTCTGCTCAGCTGGGCCTCAGTGTCCCTGGGCCCTGTGTGGAGTCTTCCAACGTCACTGACTTGTTAGGTGGGAGGTGCAGAAGCACGGTGGCACGGGCTTCAAAACCACAGCTGGTCAAGTTCTACCTGTGTCCTGGGGAGGCGCCAAGGGGTACTGAGTTCCCGAGTGGGCGAGGTGATAACAGCCCAGCCTTATCTGCTGCAGAAAACCTGGCCGAAGAGGACGCTGGGGGCTCTCGGCTGTGTGCGCAGCCACAGCATTCAGGAGAAGTCATGTGAGGCTGGCAGGGCCGGGCTGAGTGCTGCTTCCCAGCTTTGCCTTTCATGGAGAAGGACGTTGCCACGCGGCCCTTCCACCGAGGGACAGGGTTGGACCCGCAGGACCCAGGCCCAGGCCTCGCAAGCGCCTCCGAGCGCTGTGACTGTGGACCTCGGCTGTCCGCGTGAGCACTGGGAAGTGTGCGTGAAGCGTTTGTCTGCCTGGAGCCCAGCTCCACCTTGGCCTTCGGAAAGGCGTCACTGGAGAACCCAGAGGACGCCGTGGCTGAGCGGGGCCTGCTGCTGCCTCAGCCCCCAGGTGGCAGGGTGGCCTCCAGACCAACAGCCCGGCCTGGGGCCTGGGTCACTCCACTCTGCTCCCGTCATGGTTGCGTTTTCGGTTCTTCATGTACACGTGTGTGCTGAGGAGGCAGCTGTGTGCATCCAAACCTGGTCCAGGCCCCTGAGAAGCTGTGTGACCCCGGGAAACGAGTCTCTCCTCCCCTGGAGACTGGCACCTTCACAATCTGTCGCTGGGGGTGGGACTCGCCTCCCAGGGGGTGACCCTTAATGACTTCCTTCATCCCCACTTGCCACTGTAGCCACTGCTATGCTGCATCCCACAGAGGAGCGGGTAAGTGTAGGGCCGTCGCTCAGTGTGTCCAGGGCCCTGCGGGTGTGAATGCATGAACCAGAGGATGTGACTTACCACGGGGTGTAGGCCTCCGTCCTTAATAGCCCGTGTGGCACTGAGTTGCACTCAGCACTTCCTGGAAGGGACGCGGGGGCGGCAGCTGAGGCCCCGAGTCAGCGGTGTGGGGAGTAGCCCCCTATCTGTCAAGCACAGAGCCTGCGGGCGCCACACCTGGGCCACTCAAGGGACAAGGACTTCAGCCACAGCCGCTGCTAAGAACGCGTTTGTATTGAAGCGTCTGTGTTCCAGCTGGGGTTTGAGGCGTCCCTGGCTCCCTCTCCTGTCCACATTTGATGTGCACTTTTTGCCTTTCTGGAAACATTTTTCCCACTAAGTGGCAATGAAACAGAATAGTGAAGGTAGGTACAGTGTTTCAGAAAATCCCAACTCAGAGGAAAACATGCTTCATAAAATGACCATGGTTTGTTCTTCAGCTTGCTTCTAAAAGAATTCACAATGTATTCTGGCCATCTTCCCAAGGCAAGGCAGAAGGATCACACCATTAAGAATTTTTTTCTTGGTCCACGTCTGCCAACAATGCTTATGTCCCTTGCGTGGACCTGGTGCAGGTACACGATTCACCCTGGTTCCCTTTCATCCCCTGCCTCTCCTCTCCCTCCTCCGTCTTCTGGTCCACTCCCCTTTGAGGAAGATCTGTCTCCCTACTTCCCATCAGCTATCTTTTATTTTGCTCTTTATTTAGACTTTGGGTCATTCCTATAAGGGTGGTCACGCAGTACTGAATCGTGTGTGTCTGATTCCCGATTCATCTTGCTTCACGGGATGGCCTCAAGCCACACCCACTTCCCACACTCTGTCCCACTGCACAGCAGTGCCAGCTCAGGGTCCCCTCCTCTGCTGACGCAGAGAAACCTGGCTTCAGAAACCCTGTAGACCTAAGTACGGCAGCTGCGACTCCCATGCTTTATGGGTATTGTGTATATATGGGTTTAGACCCAACTTCCCCAAGCTGCTTTTTCTGTATACCTTTTGTTCCCTCTGTCTCTAATTTTCCGTAAGTTTATGTTACTTCTATAATACCAGAAAAAAGTTATGGAGAGCTAGTATTCACCTCACAAATGCTGTCCACCGTTCTGAATTCTAATGGCATTTATTGCTACTTCTAAGGCATTCATGTTTGATTTTCTGTTGCATCCATTCAAGCACATAGCATGCGTGGGAGCACAGATTCCAGGTTGCAGGCTGATCACCAGATTTCGGGTGTCTTGGGAGTGCTGGGGACGAACCCAGGGCCTGCACACGGCAGCCCTGCCGGCTGGCACCCCTAGGCGTCTCCTCTGGGACCCAGGGTGACCCGGCCTCCTTCACAGGCAGGAGTGACAGCCGGGGAGGAGCACACTGGGCTGGCGGGAGAGGCTGCGGGAGACCACCTGGAGCACAGGCCAGGGCTGAGCCCAGGGCAGAGTCACAGCGAGGCTGGGGTCACAGAGTCCGAAAGGACCCGGCCTATGCGCTGGTCATTGGAGCTGCCAGGCAAGCAAAACCCCAGGCTTCTCAGGGTTTCCCACAGACTTTTCCGAGAACTGTCCTCTCTGGCTGCTCTTAGAGAGCGTGTGCACTACAGGTAGAGCCTATCTGTTCCTGGCTGTGAACTGTCGCTTCCTTCTGCGCACCTGGTTTGTGCTCAGGAGAGTTCAGATTCTGGAACACACAATCTGCAAGTCAGCGCCTACAGCAGGAAATTGGGAAATGAAGCTGGGCTGGGCGTGGTGACCACAGGCCCGTCATCCCAGCACTCCGAGGCTGAGGCAGGAGGGCCCATGTTTGAGCCCAGCCTGGGCAATTTAGCAACTTAGTGAGACCCTGTCTCAAAATAAAAAATAAAATATGAAGGAAATTGAAAAAGAAAAAAGAAAGAGCTGGGCCTTAGGAATAGAGAAAGGAAATAGCTGGCAGAGGAGAATGAGAGCCCTTTACAAGGTCAAGTTAGAAAAGATAAAAGCAAATGAGGGAAATTAACCCTTGGCCCAGAGATTGAGCCGATGCCAGGCGCCCAGAGTGGCCGGAAAGGTGTGGGCGCAGCCTGTTTCCGAGTGCAGGGCCAGGTGGGGCAGAGGTGCCGGAGCAATGCTTGGTCCTGGTCCACACAGCCGGATTCAAGGCTTATGGGGGAGGAAAAGGCCCTGCGGTGAGAGGAGTGGATGCTCAGCAAAGAAATAGGCTTGTTTCCGAGACAGAGGCCAGCAGGGCATTTTCTAGCGAGCAAGTGAGATCTATGAAATAGTTCTGTGGCAGCTTCGTTGCTTACTTACAACTGCAGTCACCGTGGCCCATGTTTTGCTTTTTCTTAGAGTGGATATACAATGCTTATTAGAATTTTTCCTTCTCACCCTTCCCTTAAAGGCAAATCTTTTCTTAAAAATGCAAATCTTATAATAAGATTTTGAATTTTTTGCCCACTGGAAAGTTCTCCAATCTGGGAGCTTTTAGAAGTCCAAGCCCAGCGGGGTGTGGGGGTGCTCACCTGTAATCCCAAAACTCGGGGAGGCTGAGGCAGGAGGATCACATGTTCTGGCCCAGCCTGCACAACTTTGTGATTTAGGGAGAACTTGTCTCAAAATAAAATTTAAAAAAGGGCTGAGCTGTAGCTCAGTGTGAAGGCCCTGGGTCCCATCCTAGTACTCCATAAAACAAAACAAAACACAAACAGCCCAACCCCAGGGTCTGAATGGGTGGTAATAACATCAAAAAGATGCAACAGGGCCGGGAATTTAGCTCAGTGGTTCC